CGTATCAAGTATAGCGTTTGGCAGGATTATCAGTCCTTTATTAGCCTTTGACTGGGAACTGAGTAGGTGGACCCTGTTCGTATCATATATAGCGGGATATCAGCGACGAGAGGGATCATTTAGGACAGGATTTAACTGTAATTTCGTGCAATTGTCGATGTGATACTGTAACGACGCAATCAATTATTGCGATTTTGCAAGAAACAAGCCAGGCCATAATCTAACAATTAGCCACAAGTTCAGCAAATCATCCTTGATTTAGTGTGCTAAAAACAGTTTCGATCGTCACCACAAGATCAGGTGGCGATGACCAATCCTTACTCAAAATCACGAAAAGGACCGAACACTTCGAGACTTGCTGTCCGGCCGCAATGGAGTACAGCGCGCTACACCCGCCGAACCGCCGAGCGCCGAGCGATACCGTGATCGCCGACGTCAAGCAGCGCGTCAGGCCGCCTGCGTATGCCCTCCTCTCTCTACAGAAAACCGAGTTACCGAGCGTCCACTTGGCCGTTTCACTTGCCGCTAGAGGACACCATGTCTCCAACCTCACCACTGACACATCAAGTCGACAAAGTGAACTAGATAAAGTTGCTCAACGTCGCGAGCGCAATCGTATGCACCAGGCGCGCCACAAGATGAAGCAACTTAAGAAGGTGGAGGACCTGGAGACGAGCATTCGGCAGCTTCGAGAGGAAGTGCAGCAACTTAAACTGCAGAGAGAAGTCCTCTCGGTTGGCGTCATGTCCAATACGACGGTATGGAGCGTTGCAGCCGAGTACTTCCGCATGTTCCGCTACGGTGTTAAGTCGCTAGGCCTGTCGACTCAGAATTGTGCTCTTGTGGCGACATCTTCTCCGTTCCAAGCGGATGCGCAGCGGCGTTTCCTGCTTTCGACGATGATGGCGAGCGTAACGAGCGAGACTGGTTACGGAGTGGACGCACTGATGGAAAACTGGAGCTTCGTGACTAGATTCCACCCGGACATTGACGTCCAGTTGATGTCGCTAGAGAGCAAAGGGGATGGCCTTGTGATGGGGAAGACTTTAGGCAGACTCACGATCACGGAGAACACACTGCGTCATGCGTTCCCTCATTTGGTTAGTGATGGAGGAGAACGAGCTCAGCTTGCACGTAAACTTTTGGGTCAGCAGCTTGTCATGCGAGGGGGTGTTCACTTTGAGTGGGATAGCGTGAACGGGCGAATTGCCAGGGTGCAGCACAAGGCAGACTTGATGACACCATTGCTGCAGTTGCTAGGAAGCTTGGAGGCTGTTTCGTGCGTATTTGAGAAAGCGCTTGTGACACCTGAAAGTACAGCAGTCTCTTGGAAGACGCTCTCAGCTCAATAGCTTTGTATATAAACTGGAGATTTCCCCGGTGGTGAGGTTGTTGCTTGTGATTGACTTTGAATACGTTCTGCCACGCTTATACTAGATTGTATGGAATGATTTTTTTTTTTTTGCCACATACACTCCCGGTCTAAAATTACATGAACACCGTCGTTCAATTCTTATCATTTTTAAGAGGTGGTTTTGACAAGAGTACCACAGCACGGTTCAAAAGTGAAAATTGCGGGCACCTCGCATACAAAAACCCGACGGACATAATTTACGAGCACCGGCCCTTCTTGACAAAACTCTATATAAAACGGAAGCCTGGTAAATGCGAGTTCTTCGAACGAAGGCTTTATATCAGCAGCAGTATTATTGTGCCTTTCATTATTCTGCCACGATTATGCTGGCGTAATTCTATTCCCTTGCCAGCTTTAATTATGCTATACTGTCAGCTAATTCCATGATATAAACAATTATGGGTTGCCTCATCTCCGCCGGCTTTAGGGGCTGGTCGCGCTGGCTGGTGCTGGTTCTCGGTCTGGTGTCCAAGTGCCCTTGTGTCTAGGGGAAGAAACCTTAGGGCTGCTATCTAGGGGTAGGGAAAAGGTGAAACTTTTCTTTTTTCCATTTTAAAAATGTCAGCAAAAGATCGTATATACCATTAGCGAGATTTATCCATACTAACACCCACCTCGTATTACTATTAATTAGTTGCATACACGAAAATTGCCGCGGATTAAGATGCATGCATCGAAATAACAAAATGCACCTAATCCATAAGAAGCTGATACCTCTCAAGAAACTAAAAAAGATATCTGATAGTTCTATAGCACCCAGCACTGCAATGAAAACAACTTCATTAATAAAGGTGGGTTCGATTAGGCTAATTCCGGAATCGAATGACAAACGAACCAAACGCGTGTTCCATTCACAACCGCAGCAACCAGAAAGTGTGCTGCATCGTTTCTTGCGCCAATGCATCAGGAAAAATGGTGTTCATCGCCCAATGAATGCCACCAAGCAAGCCAGCGTCAAGAAGCAGATCGGATTCGTCGTCGTGTGTACATTAGCTAGCTGATACTTATCTTGGCCATCCCTTGTCCGCCACTCTGACGGGGGTGATCTGTAATAAATAGCACCGTTTTCATCACTCCAGACGAGCTTCTCGCTCAAGAACTTTGTCAACTCACGCTCTCTTGCTTGCCTTCATTATAGCCGAATAAACCAACAAGTTTTGTGAGTTCTTTACTTGTATCAATTTTGGCGGAACCGTATCGTCTTAGTAATAGGCGACGTTTGGTCCTAGGCGTCAGACTGTTACCAATAGGGCGGTCAAAAAATTTAGATTAAATTTACGGTCAGCTAATTTTAGCTATCGGAGAAACGAATTCTCTCCAGTTCACACCCCAATCAGGATGTCACGGCCCACTATCAAGGACACGAAGACGAAGTGGAAACAATATAAGCGCGTACGCGTCGAATATGGCCCCAAGCAAGACATTCTTAACTACATACAAGCTGGTCACACGGCTAATGAGGCGTTGGACTACTTCTACGGTACTTTGTCTTGTAGGAGCGCCGGTCAAAGCAGCAACTTATCAGTAAATGGCGCGCTAACGGCTCGAAGATAAAGCGGCTTGTGAAAACGATCAGGCTCGCTCCCTCAACTTCCGTGAGCGAGGCATGGCTACAGTGCTTTCCAAGGAAGCAGAAGAAGATATTGTCCTGTGAATCAACGCTCTGCGGAAGGATGGCGCTCTGGCCTCTCGAACGATGTTAAAACTGAAAAGTTTGGAGGTGGCATATGAATGTGGACTTAAAGAAGATCAGTTTTCTGCTTCACCATTTTGGATGAAATTATTTATGCGTCGTCACAAACTATCGCTTCGATCTAAAAGGCGCCAAGGGCAAACAACGCCTGAAGACGCAGCAGAAGTCTCTAAAGCGTTTAGAGCAAAGGTACTACAGACGATCGTAGAATATAATTGTGCTCAGGTTTTTAATGCAGATCAAACAGGTACGTTTGAATTGTAGATTTTATATTTAAGAAATTAAAGTGGCTGGATTCCACCAAGACGGGTTGGAGTCGCTGTGGAAATAAGGACAAGCAAAGCCATGTTACTTGGTGATTGGAGTGGAAATGTATACGACACTTTTATTTTGTTCAAGTCTGCGCCTTCACAAAAAAGCAACGAGATAACAACAAGCTGCGCAATGGATTTGGTCCAACAGATTGGCGCGAAATTAAAAAGCTCTAGGACAAGTATCCTTGTAGAATTTACGGCAAAAATACAGCATGGTGGAACGAGCAACTTTCGATCAAGGTTTTGGAATATCACTTTGCTAATCGTGAAAATCATTACGAGAACCTCCTCTTACTCTGGGGCGATTTCAGCGCACATTGAACTAAGTCTGTCCTTGATTTAGTCGCTTCCCTCAACGTCGTTCTACTCAAGGTACCTCCAAAGTATGCGTATGTATGTATGTATGTCAGCCTGCTGACATATCATGGAACAAACCGTTTAAAGAGAAACTTCGTGCACTGTCGATCGATAGTATTAGACAGCAAGTTGCGCTCCTATAAGAACGGTGAGCATGAGCGTCTTCAACAACAAAAAAAACAAATTGAAGACAAAATTTTACTTGCATAGAGAAAATTGGATCAGGAAAGTGCTGGTCGAAAAGTGGCTGCCCCGAAAAATATGGAAACGTTTTCACTGGTCGCACCAGGAAGACCTGTTATGACGCAACGGATCACGTTTTGCTGGCCGAAATTGTCTTCTAAGACAATGATTAGTGGCTTTACTGGAGCAGATCTGCTCACTGACGTTAGAGAGGGCGACACTGATGAAGATGTAGAGCAGCTCGAGAGTATTGCTCTGACTTAGATCGCTGCAACATTGCAGAAGCAGAGGTCGCTTCTGAGGATGAGACTGGAAGTGAATGCGGCGGCACTGAGGATGAGAGTGGTAACGAAGACAAGTAATTCATAATATATATTGGTGTGCTTAGCTTTCAGATAATTCTCCGCTATGTTTCGCTTAAATCTTAGGATTTGAAGTATAGCCTCATTACACTCTCTTCCTGCCCCTTGTCGCTAACGACTAAGTCGATACGGTACCAGCAATCATACTGGTGGATTTGGTATGGTCAAGCCGACACCAGATCCCCATTGCAACGTATGTATGAGTTCCCAGTAATAATTAATCCGTGCTTTGAAAAAAAAACCCTGTAAACTCTTCAACACCTGAAACTGCTGTGCTATTAACGGGGTGCCGGCTCAGTTTTGACTAAGCACGGAAATGCACAGTGTATCCTGTTCGAAATGCGCCAGACACTTTTGCATATGCTTTGGTAATTGCAGCGCTACCCTCCCTTGACCCAAAACACATTAGGAGCCACAATCTGCGTCAAATTAGCTACAATCTCACTATCACACTTATCCAGTACTTTCTGGTCAGCGAATAGCTCTCAAATTACCTCCTTATTCTCCATGACCAACTTGCTGCATTCGTACGAGGAGTACCATCACATGGCGACAGGAAGCTTCAACCCTCGTTGGCATCCGTCCCGATCAGATTTCTGGATGGTCTTAAAGCGCAAATTGATAGCTGTGTGGCTTCAAATAAAGACAGCAATTTTTTTTTTGCTTCTCCTAGGATATCCTAAAAAAAAAAACAAAGCAGCAGAACTGAGCACGTCCTTCATGAGCACACTTAGAGCGTGGGCTGCACAACCCGTAGCTATGAAGCCAGGGCGGGTTCCCACCACAATAGCCCACGCACTTAACGTACTAAACGGTCTATTTGTAACACCGTGGTGAGCGCTGGGGCGAGGAAGCGAAGACTGTACCGAGACGTGGACCGGCGAAGCGAGGAACCCAGGCGACCCGAAGCGAAGACATGAGGAGGTGTGGCCAGTTGATGGACCACTGAGGGTTGTTTGGTAAATTGAAAAGTGAATTGAAATGAGGAAGGCTCTTACGGCTACCTGGCACCTACGGGTGGCTCACAGTGCTCTCTTAAGAATACAGTAGAGTGTATCCTAAAGCCTATCTTTTCCCATCTTCTGATTTGGCTATCTACCAATGATTTTCTTATAAACTTCCACATAGCAATGTTGACTTGATTCTCTGGCGTCCCATAATCAAGCTTCGAGAACATTCTCGATTTTCAGCCAATGAGACCTTCTCAATGTCTCAGTGTGACGGCGTAAACAAAACTAGCATATTACTAGAATTTAGTTTTAGCCAATCACATTGTGGATACATGTAGAATATGCATCTTGCACTTCAATGCCTGACAGAGTGAAAATGACAGCACTCCGTCACACTATTAGTTGTTATCGGAACAATTTTGCCCTTACCAATCTGAGTTTCAATCTCACCAACGACTTTGCCTGTCATCTGAGTCATGTAAGCTCAAGTTTTGGTGTCTTCACCGGTGACGCGGCAGGTCCATAACAAAGGTCGAATTCCAGGAGCAATCACAGTGAAATTAACGAGACTCTCGCATGGCGGGTTTGATCATCCGTTGAACACAAGAGCAACAAAAGGCACGTTTTTCAGTACCTCGATGGCACCTTTTTCCCAGCACGAAACGCACACCCAAACAGGTTCCCAACTAAATCTGCGCGAGTAGATATTATGACTGATGGGTAAATGCAGGCTACATTGCCTAAAGCCAGGGAGTTCCGCAACACGAAACGTCACTGATGCCGTGTAGAAGAACATGGCAATAGCCGTCTGGCATTGAAGCTTTCTGGTTGTGCTTAGTTCGGCGGGGTCAGGTCATGTAGGAGTTTATAGACTGTCTTCAACGTTGGAATCTTCACCGAGACAATCATCGCCGCTGTGGTGGCGCTTTCTCACAAGGCATCTTCCGGTTACGCAGAAATTCTGAAATATCCGGGCAGCGCTTGGCGTGCTTTAGCATTCCTCAAGATGGCTGGATAAGACACAAGATATGTTGGCACTGGATGTACGTCACATTTTTATATTTGCGCTTCTCGGTTCCGATACCGACTGTAAATTCGTCCCAAATCGACGCGTTAGGTCTCCCATGCCGCTCCATGAGACACCACGAGGACAAAAGAAGTAGTAGGGCCAGCAGGAACATCGCTGGCAGCCGCGCTCGCTTGATGCCGTCCCATAGGTAACTACCAGAGTGGACACGATGCAAAATAACGCCCGCAAGTGTGCACAGTCTGTAAAGGAAAAATAAACTACATTTGTATACTTAGGTATCGCCTATACTACGTAGCCATCCTGACTAGCATCTACACCTGGTATACGCCTGATGGCAATCACGATATCGTGGAAATATTCAGTAGTCAATGTCTTCTTCGACTAATCAAAGTATCATGATCTCGGCAGATACTCGTCTAGGGAGCCTGACATCTTTGCCTTCTTCATGTGGCGCTCACTCTTCATTCATGACTTTATTTTGACCTCCCAAATACCTTCAATCTGGCTGGTACAAGCGCCAGTAAGCGGGTCCGCGAAGTTGTTTATTTGGTCGCACACTGGGGCTTGTACTTCATGCAGCTCAAGAACCTATTGTTCTCCAGTGTATACAAGAGGTCCGTGCGGCGACCAGTCTTTACCTCAGTCATGTACGACTTCGGCAAAGTACGCTTCATTCCATACTGACTGCTATGGATCGGGCGAGATGTCTCGCGCTGATCTTTCCAACAGGGAGGCAGTGTGCTATGATAGCTACCCTTGCTCTGGGGATATTTTT